TAACAGTCTATACTGAGTGTTTAATATGATCACTACTACTACATTTATTTGTAAAAATTAAATCCTTTAGATTAAAAATTATTGTAATAATATAAACATTTAATGTGTTCTGTGTCATTGGCATACATCTACTACTTTAATAAGTCTTCACAACAGTTATAAGTATATAGTATTACTATCTTTGTTTGCAGATGTGAAAATATAAACACTGCATTGTCACAATATATTTTGAGCAGTGTATTATATCTTCGCTGAAAACTGGGATACAGGCTGAATCATTTATCTATCATTGAATATCAAACCACTCCAAAACTTAATGGCTTAAACTAACAGCCATTTATTTAGCTCATGATTCTAGTGGGTATTTTCTTCTGGTCTGGGTCAACCTCAGCTCATCTTGGCTGTGTCCATTGTCATACTGGTCTGGGATCGGTTAGTCATAGGTGACCTCACTCAAATATCTGGAAGTTGGTTTACTGTTGTCTAAGTTGACAGAAATGACTGGTGTATTAATCATGCCTTTTTATTTTAGGTTTGTTTTGTTTTGTTTTTGTTTTTGATTATTTGACTTCGGACCTTTCTGACCCTGGAGGAACAGCCCTTCCCAAGTTTAGCTAAATCTTAGAGATAGTAACCATGACTTTCATATGCAAACCCACCAATCCAGAGCCATACCACCCTCCCCCACTCCCCCCACTACCTTTATTAGGCTCTCATGCTTTGGGTCACTTTTCACACCAGAGCCAGAACCAGACAACTAGGGACAGTCCTATGCTCTAGAAGCTGCTGAAATGATTCAAACTGGCCAATCCTAAACCCGTGTTCCATGTTTCTCCTATTCCTTCACACAGAAATCACAATAAAGGCTCTTGCTCACCTTTTCCCCAAATCATTCTGTCTCCTAACCAACCCTGGTGTTTCCCATGTCCTCTTCCTCTTGGGATCTATAACAGTTTATCTTTTCAATGTCAATTTGTTGTCTCCTGATATGTTAGCCTCATCAAACTTGAAAAATAATAAAACCTACAATTTCAAATAGCTGGGTAATGTATTCATCATCCATTCCTGGGAGCCGCACCGGCCTCGCTGGATGACAGTCAAAGCGAGGAAATGGCAGCATTTGCACAGCTCCTGCCATGAGAAGCAAAACTGGTATCTCCTTCTGCTACTACTGGCTCCTGTTGGAAATGAGCCTGCAGGTATTGACCAGGCCTCACAATATTCCAAATCAGACCGATATTCCCCACACAGATTCCTCCTAAGGAAAAGCATATTCCTGCCTTTTCAAAAGAGATTTTAGATGAAAGCATTGTGGATGATTGTCAAAAGGCTCTTCCTATGGGCCTTGCAGATCCAAGACTTAGATAATAAAGGGGGTTAAGAGCACAAGAGTTACAACTGAGGCTGGCCCTGAGACAAAGAGCCTAACTTAGAGTTAAGGACAGATATCCACCCCCACCCAATTGTTTCTGCTTGGAGCACAAGCCCCCCAAGACATCTTGTGATCAGTATTCAGAGTGACTTATTATGGCCTTGAATATGCTGATTGCACCCTGTGAAGGAACCTATTGTGGGAACTTCTTCTTTTGTAATTATGGAAGCAAATATTTGTGTTTCCTGAAAGGCCTGTTTTTCCTAATACTTCTCCTTAAACAAACAACTATTGACCCCTGCTCACAAAGAAGTAACTTCACCCTTTTTATGCTAAAAACATTGTCTTGTATGCTAAAGATACCTTCCTTTCCCATAGGATATGCATCTAAATCACCTACCTCAATCACTATTGATAAAGGTTATGCATGAGTCTTCTACAAATCTATGTTCTGGGAAATTTTTACATATCAAAGAAATTTGTCATAAAAAAATCATTGTCTAAGGCAAATGCCACTTCTGTGCTGTCCCCCAAACACTTAATTATAAAATAAAGCTGAGCCCCAGTCAAAGCAGAGATGCCTGCCTGGTGATCAGAAAGAATTTCTCGTGGCTCTCTCATCACTCCTTCACCGACAACATCCAACATTCAGGAACCCCTGGACCCTGCCGGAGCCAGCCTCTGGCAATCCATCAGGCAAGTCTGGGCTTGTTCATATGGCAAGAAGGTTGCAAGAGCAGCAAGAGAACAAGCCCTAATGCACACAAGTGCTTTTCAAGTCTCTGCTTATGTCTACAATTGCCCATTGGCCAAAGCAAGGTATGTGGCCATACCCAGAGTCATGTGGGAGGAATGGATACAGGGTAGAGTGTGGCTACAGGGAGCCATTGCAGATTTGGGCCATAACTGCCATCAGTCTACCAAATAAGCATTTCATGAGGTTTTATGTCAACTTCTCATTCTCTTTGATTTGAGTAATCCTTAGTGTTTAGCTATTGAAATAAGCAAGTTGCCTTTTGACAACTCTTAGCAAAGATAGTACCAACTATCATAATGCTAGGTACTACTATTCAAAACACAAAGCTTATATGCTAATAACTAAGTTTTCTTTTAGGAAAGTCACTGCTTATCACTAGAGGACTTGGACAGTATAAAGCATTTTGGGGTTGTGATTATAGTCATTGTGGTGAAACCACAGAGGAGATAATAACATAATAATATTCACAGAAAACTTTAAATAATATTATGCCCCTAAAACTCTTGTTTATCATGAATATGGGTCAAAAACCTCTTGACTGAGATTTAATGAATCTTTTTTTCCCACAATAGGCTGATTATTTTCAATTTTCTTTTCATAATCAAATGCTTTAGCCTTCTTCAGCAACTTTCAAAATAAAATTCTAAACTTCCTTTTTTCTGAATTCCTCCTTCCTTTCACATTGTTTACCCATTACTGTCATCCAAACCAACCTCTTATATTGTAAAGGACTATGGATCCAAGTAGCATAGGAAGAAAAAAAAAATACATTGCAATGGAATGCCAGGTTTTATTGGTATTATCTTCTTCATGGTGGTGAAAAAAAACCCTTTTTTAGTCCACTTATCCAAATTCCAGGAACAGTCATAAACAGGAGAAACATGTCCCCTTCCACAAAGAGTTTACATACTTGTCTTTGAAATGTAGATTGTTCTTTTATCTGAATGGTATATATTTTCCATTGGCAAATGGATATGGGAATCTGATAGATCTTAGTTTGAATCTCAACATAACCATTTACTAACTAGAAACTTCAGCAACTTAAGTTGTCTAAGTGTTCATATTTACTTCCAAAAAAATGGATATAATAGGCCATAAACTCTAGCCTTTAGAGAGAGTTCAGAGCTGCCTTAACTCACTTTCCACTCACTATTCTACCCCAAGAAGAATCTTGGTCATGAGGGAAGGACAGGAGGAGTTATCAAGGATATAGTGTTGCTACACTGGAAAGGGATGCAGTTTTTGTGAGAAGACAGAATGATTATTATAGTAGTGGGTGGGCACAGTGTTCCTCCTTTAGATTGTTGTCTCATGGACCTCTCTTCTAGCATTCCTCTCTTCCATCTCAAGATATCGTTGTGATAGATCAGAGCAGGGGGACATTTTGCTTGGAAAAGCCCAGCAGGAAACAGGTTAGGTCTGAGGATATGAAGGCCAGGAGCAACCCTGCCTCATCAGATCATAGGGATAGAACAGTATAGGGACTTGGGGCCAAACTATCATAAAAGTTGATTTGTCTGACACATTCTCTGGGCAAATATTTATTGATACTTAACATAGTTGCCAATTGGTTTAAATATGTAGATGTAATATTCTGGCTATATCTCTATTGGATACTCATGATTATTATTAATCATTTCACAGGATTCTTATGCAGATCATGTAAATATGATCTCTTATGAGATCTTGTAAATATAATCCCTAAGTTAGTGCCTAGTAAATAGCACATACCTGTTAAATGTTACTTATTAATTTATGAAAACTTTGGTGTTTGGGGTTTATAATACTAGCCAACTTCTTTAAAGTGTAAGTGAGCAAGTCAGCTTTGGATGTGTTGTTATTATCTACCATATTGGCTATTTTTGACTCTTTCCCAAGATTGGGTTATAGGCTTATCAGGTAATTTAACTTTTATTGTAGCACATATTTAGCTATATGAATTAAAATGACCAATTAAAAAGGTATATTGACTTCCTTTGCTAAGTTCTTTAGCCAGGGTTTTATACACTATATCTTTAAAAGATAAATTAGGTCATAAAAAAACATGGTACATTTTAAGTCTCAGAGAACATTTATATTTTATCTTTTAAAAATTACAAAAACAATAAATTCTTCTTTTTTCTTTTCTATATTACATTTTCAAATATCTGAAGAAATTAAAAAATAACTAATGCTATTTCAGAGAAGAAAAAAGAAAAAGCTTTGTGTTAATAACTCAACATCAGTTTATTGTAAAAGAGCCTGGCTTTTTAGTGATATTATGGATTATATTGTTTGCTTATGTTAAGCTTGAACAAATTCTTTCTGTCTAAATTATAATTTATAGAATTATTCTTAATTTTATATTTAAAGTAATACTATTAGTATTATTAACTTTAAATAACTTCTAATTATACTTCTTTTCAAGATTTTGTTTCTGAACTTATTTGGTGGGTGAAGGGCAAAGGGATATAATTATGTATGATCTTGATTTACCTGCCTGATGTCTTACCTCACAATGATCATTTATTGTGAGGGTTTGGACCTGGAAGTTTTTTCAAATTAAGAAAACCCCGTTTTACTATAAAATATATGCTCTGGGGACAAGAAAGAACAGTACGCAATTACTCAATTAATACCTAATTCATATCTTTGAAATACATCCAAGGGTATGTCAGGAATATCTAGTTCACACACACTCACACACATGCACACACACACACACACAAATTCACTTTATACATGGTACTCTAGGGTCGTGGGTGTTTCATAGAGTGAGGATATCATTATGTAGCAACAAATATTGCACAAATTTGAAAAGGCACTGCTTTTGTATCAGGGGTTTGGAGTCTTAATAAACAACCATCCTGATGCCCTTACTCTCTTTTGCAGATGACCCTTCTCAACAGGAGGACAGTGATCCTCCAAAAGAATATGATCCTGGGCAATTTGCAGGCCTTCTCCATGGGTCTTCTCCAGCCTGTGAGTCCCCTGAAAATCCGTTTCATCTCTATGGGAAAAGAGATGAACACGAAGAAGGACAAGATGAAGTCAGTTCGGCAAACAGTCCTTTGCCTTTCAAGAAGTCTCCAATAGCAAATAACTCAGAACCTTTGGTAAAGAAAATTAAACCCAAAGTGGTCAGTAGAACAATTTTTCACAAAAAAACCAACCAACTTGAAAACCATACTATTGTTGGTACAAGAACAACTAGAAGTGGATCCCGGAATGGGGACCAGTGGATTGTGAACACGGGAGGATTTGTGGAGAGAGCCTGTACCCTGGGAAGAATAAGGTCATTGCCAAAAGCCCTGATTGACATGCATTTATCAAAAACTGTCTCTAAATCAGATTCTGATCTCATTGCATACCCTTCAAATGAGAAAACACCAAGAGTTAACTGGAGTGAATCTTCACCTGCTGAACATAGTTCTAAAGGGAATTCTGAAAGAACACCATCCTTCACTTCTGAATGGGAAGAAGTAAGACTTGATCTTGTTCTTTATATAAGGCTTTGGAGTCAAAGGAGGTTTGGGGGAAGGGTTTTAAGTTTTAAGTCTTTCAGAGACAAAAAAAAAAAAATAGATGCATATAGTTTCAAGTAGAAGGGCAAGGTTCTAGGGGTAATACATGATAATTTTGCAGCTAGTGTAAAAACAAACACAATTCCACACATGTGGAGAAATCTGTTGTTTCCATAGAAATTGATATCAAGCAGAAGTAATAACTAGCTATGAGGTACAAGAAAATGTTCACATTATGTCCTACCAAGCACTGCAGCTGACAAATTGAGAAAAGTCTTTGTATTTGTGCTGCTCTGTATCATTTTGCTACTTACTAAACTCTGTTAGCTCGTCTCCCTTCTTTAAAGTGTCTTATGTTTTTGGAAAAGCTCCTTATAATCTTAACCTTAATGGTAAACAGAATAGTCCTGGCTCTTTCCCAAGTACCATACAACAAACCCAAATTACTTAATATTTCTCTTTTACAACTATCAGAGAGACAAAAGGAAAAAGATGTTGAGGTTGAGTATCACTAATTTAAGCTCTACTTAAAGACAAAGTCTTCTATTTTATAAAATTACTCAGAAAGTAAGTGCCCTTGCAAGGTTATAAAATATCATCCTTTGTCCCTAAGGAAGACTATTTCATAAAACCATGAAGTTCCTTCCTTTTCTTGAATTTCTTCAGTGAATGGACCACATTCCTCTTTAGTATTTCACTCTAATGTGTCACATTTTTTCTCTCTCAAAAGATTGTGCCAGTTGTATTGGGTTTTGAAGCATAATAGGTCATTCTACTATTCTGAAACCTAGAAATGTCTGATATTGACATTATGAATTGAGCTATTTGGGAAAATCACTTAATTTCCCTGCATCTGTTTCAAGGTGAGCAAAATAGGGCATTTAAGTAATGCTTATTGTCCTTTCTGAAACCTGCTATCTTAACACAGGTTGCTAAGATGATGGGGAGTGAAATTAAACCATAAATGGCTAAAACTTAGTTATATCTTCCTATAAATACTGTACTACTTGATTGATAGTTTATTCTGGTCTCTCCATTTCTTATATTTATTAACTCTGTGAATAACATCTGCAGTCACTTCTGGAATGAAGCAGAATTAGTTAACATTTAACTTATCTCTTAGAATTAAGGTGTTTCTGCAACTGGATTCTTGTGATTACAAGACATGCCACAAATTAGCTTGTAGCTGATCAAGCCATTTAGTAATAACTTGGCTCCAATGCCATACTCACATATGAAACCCGCCTCCTTCACCTTCACCTTCACCTTCACCAAAGAGATGCATGTTCTCAGATGGAAGAGGAAGAATGGCTGAGAGAATGAACATCTTCACATGAACTTATCCCTCAGCCCCATCACTTTCTGAGTTTAAAAAATACACAGTTCCTAACTCACTGACCCACATAGGTCCAAACAAAGTTCATTTTAGGAAATATAAAGAAAAGGCAGTCTGATTTTTAAAGTTTAAGAAAGGGAAGCATAATTTATATTTTTAAAAACAATTCAAAAGTTGTCTGCTTCCTTTTAAACCTACCTCAGCCACTCTCTTAATTGTGGCATTGTAAAGGTAATAATATCAAGAATGTATGCCTCTGGAGTTCGGAAATTATTTTAAAATGTGTTGATAAAAGAGAATTAATAATATATTTATATGGCTTTTGTTTCTCACAGATTGACAAAATAATGAATTCCATAGATGTTGGAATTAACAGTGGACTTGAAGAAATGAATGGTGAGGCCACAAGTAAGGAAAACTCTTTTCTACATTGTATTAATAAATGTGCTCAAAACTAGCTAGAAAATTATAGGACATTTTAGCTGATTCCATGTTTTATTATAATAACAGTATCTAAAAATTATTTCCTTCCATTCATATCAAACAGCCATGACCTCTAAATATCAGTTATAAGTATATTGATTTCACAACTTGAGAGATTTTATTCCCATGTGCTATGACAATTAACATTAATGGAGTTTCAACTTTGTGTAAAGCCAAGTATGCAGCACTTCAAAGTGTTGTAGAGTATGATGACCTAATACACTACGATTTCCCATTCAGTGAAATGTCCCATTCATTCTGGCCAAAGCCATTAACAACTTACCCCTAAGTTACAAGCTCCAGTATGGCAAGAAGTAGGTGTTACTTATCTTCATGTATCCCAGAATACCTAGCAGAATGTTTCACAAATAGTTTTGCAATCATTATTTAACATATTGCCCTTACGAAGTATTATTTTCTTCTCCATAATTAAAGCTCAGAGTGGAATTCCATTTGAAACGTTCTTTGAAGACTTTTTCCTCCATACTAATGGATGATGTCAAATACCTGATAGCTAAACCTAAAAATAACAGTCAAATTCATGCAAAAGAAACTACTATTCTTAATAGAGTCAAAAGAACTGGCTTCATTTCTATCTAGCCATTAAGTAGTGGTATAACTGTAGATTATTATACAGTTCTCTAAAATTTGGAGTTAAAACAAGTGATTGCTAAGTTCTCAGAAGAACTCATGTTTAAGTTAGTAGTGATAGTTAATGGTTTTGTAGCGATAATAGGATTAAGGTCTGTGAGAGAGAAGTCTAGCTATATCATAGAATAAATAGCTATGAGTAATTTAAACAGTACCCCAAGTGACCCTTAAGCACAAGAAAGTTGGAAAATTGCTCTCTTATGATGCACTGGGACTGGGTGTATAAAAAGCAACATTGAAATCTGGGGTTGTAGTCACTGAAGGGAATATTCAAGCCTAGATGAACACCTTACTCATTTCGCCTATGCTGGGACAAGTAAGAAATTATTCCAATATGGCTGGACCCCATGTTAATTACGTGATAATCGTTTAACAATTATTAATGGTTGAACATTTTTTTTCTGAAACACATATTTTAGATTTTAAAAACTGAAAAATTATGAAAAAAGTACCACAATTATGTGCATATGTCTATATGATAGAAATATGACATTGGCTCTATGATAACATGTATAGTCAGGTCTCTCACACAGAAATGCTGATAAACACTGAGGATTTTTCTAGTATCCAAAGAATTGGCCAAGAAATGTATATTGCCACATAGTTCTTTCAGACATGCTTACAAAATAATTTCAAGAAAGTATAGGAATACAGATTTTTAATTGATATGAAGGTAAGAATTTATTTCTTGTATCAATAGGAAATTTCCTGATCCTGAGAATGTTCAGGCAGACACAGGGTGCTTCTCTATTGGAAGATTTGGGTGACATTGAACATTAATATTTGAAAATTCTTCCAACAGATAGTATCAGAATTATAAAAAAATATAAACATTATAATGAAAGATTAATGTTATAATAAGGGTAAATGTTTAAAATGCCACTCAGGCAAAGCTGCCTTTTAGGGGTACTTTAGTAGTAAACAAATCCCCTAATTCTCCTCTTTCTTCTCTTTATACCAACACCCTACACCCTGTCTTTATTTATGATTTTTCTACAGTGATAATGAAAATGAAAATAGAGATTCAGTCCTTAAAGATCCCTTACTGTTAACAAAGCCTGGTTCTGTATGTGCCTTAATTTTTGCCTCTTAATTACATATTAACTATACACTAAGTGATTGTACCATGTGGCATTCCAGTTGGCCTTTAGGTCATTTGTGAATTACAAGTTTACTGGGCTGCAGGCTTTTCCCTCTTGAGGCTAGATAGAACTAGAGAAGTGATAACCCCGTGAAAATACATTCCATAGATACGTATTGGGTTACCAAGTGTGGTTAGGAAATCACATAGTGAAACAAAAAATCAAACAGATGTGAATTCAATTTTTTTAGAGTTTTTTAAATTTTATTTTTGAGAGATATAGAGCAAGAACAGGGAAGGGGGAGAGAGAGAAGAGGACAGACTCCAAAGCAGGCTCCAGGCTCTGAATTGTCAGCACAGGGCCCAACAAAGGGCTCAAACTCACAGACAGCAAGATCATGACCTGAGCTAAAGTCCGTGGCTCAACTGATTGAGCCTACCCAGGTGCCCTGACAGACATGAATTCAAATCTTAGTTCTGCTATTTACCAAGTGTTTGAACTTAGGCAACTCATTCAATTTCCCCATCAACAGAAATGAAGAAATTAATATGTAAAAATTGTAGAGATGTGACCAATGGCATATATTAGAGTCTCACACATGTAGATATGTATTATAGTTCAGCTCCCCATATTGCCCTACCATGAGGGAGACATGGTGTTTGACACTGTGGACATATCAAGATAAGCATACATTACCCTTCTTTTAAGAACTTTATGATGTCAGCTGTTTCATAGTGTTCATGGTTAATTTCCTGTACTCCCTGGAATAGTGGTGTGTTAGTTGTTTTACAGGAAGTAACAAGCCTAACAGTCAGTTGGTACCAGAGAAGAGAAATTACTAAAAGAGATTATAAAACTCCATGGTACCCTGGCAAAGAAGCAAGAAAAATCTAGACCTAATTTAATTACTTTTATGAAATCTGGGTGTTCTCTGTCTTCTTGACAATGGGGAAGAGAGATGCAATGAAATTAATAGGAAGTATATTTAGAATGAGTGAGAGGAAATACTACTTTACTTAGTGTGTGTGTTGTCTGTATCTAGATTTTGCTTTGGTAGGCAACTGAACCAAGCACTGTGCGTGGCTTTAACAGAGCTACACAACTCTATGAGCATTTGTGACATTTGTGGCTAAACACCTCAGGAGACAATTGGGAGAATAAAATCAGAAGCAGTGATGGATCAATGATGAGCATTGCATTTTCCATGCTCTTTCCCATTTTGTTTCAATGTTTCTGTTTGCCCTCCCCACCAACTACACATTTGCAATTTCAGGTATTTTGTAAACAAAATATTTATTGGACCAGTAAGGGATTTGGAACTATCTCATCTTCACTCCTAAAAATAGGAACCAGCCCAAAGTTTGAACAGTCTCTGTGAATCATCATCTAGTTCCACTCATAGAAAACCATTTCCTCTTTTTTAAAAAAATTTCCTCAGCAATTTATAGTAGTTTGAAACTTATCTGACAACAGCAGCTTTCCAGAACTAAGAAATAACAGTAAATAAAATCTACTGAATCTACATTTTGTCAGTCTCATAGGTTCTCATTCAGAATAATATTTATAGACAATTTTTACAAGCATAACTTCTGATTTTCCACTTGAAATCAGATTCGAATGCTGAAGAAATTGGCATTCACAGTAGGATTCAATTATATTGAATTATAATATAATTATTGTATTATTATATTGAATGCCTCATATTGTATAGAACATTCTATTCTTTGGTGATGCTGGATACATGATGTGATAGTACATTCTACATTGTCATATGTCCCCACATATAGGAGTTTTTCAGAGAACCAGTTTTGAAGTTAGATGGACTCAGCTTCAGATCCTGGAGTTGTAATTCACTTGCTCTGTGACCTATTTGATCTCAGTTTCCTCCCCTGTAAATTCAGATTTTTAACAACTGCCTCATAAAACCTCCACAAGCTTAAATTATACACTTGTACTACTATAGCCTAGAACATAGCTGGTGGTCAACAAATGTAATTCTCTTGACTTTTTATCCAAATATGCATGACTTAACTTTATAATTAGAATGTGTGCTACACAGGAAGATACTTGGGAAACCTTGCTTATCTTTTTGATCAGTGAAGATTTTAGTCAAATGTAATTACTCATATTCTAAGTTGCTTTCATAAGGAGTTGTTCTTAAAGTTTTATTTCTTAACTATTGTCTTTGTATCACAAGGAAGCACTTTCAAGTTAGGAAATTTACCATTTTCATTGTAAGTATCTCAAAATAGTTGTCACACTTGCTAAGAATCAAGTTGATGATCTTTTTCTGAGATTGAGGAAAATGTAAGTAAGGTTGGAATCAGTAATGGGCTCCACAGGACTTGTTGATCATTAGACATGTACAGCAAATATTCAAGGTAATTAAGTGCCCAGATTTTACAATACAGCAGTGACAGATCATCTTATCAACACCCTTCTATTTCTAAATTGGCTTTAATGATCTCCTGCCACACTAAGCAGACTACAGGTGTACTTACTGTCGTGGAATCATCTCAAGTACATGAATATGAAAAGTAGCATTTAGCAAAAAGGTATTTTTTTTTGAGACTGGGATTTTTTTTCTTATGCTTAAGGTTAAATTATATTCAAAAAGAAATAATCTAGTCTCAGCTTTTAAAAATCTACTTTTGCCAAGGTATGAATTCCATCTAGATTTTAATTATTAATGAAAGCTATTAAAATGAATTTGTAAAAGATTTTAAAATCAAATGCACTGTCTATATTGGATACGTGAAGCATAATTCTGAAGCTATTGCTGGAGAAGTCATAGCTCTGAAAACAGTCACTAACATTAATATGCAACTCGACTTTATAAGCTTTTGCTCCTCTTCATCCAGAAGTCTGAGGGCCAAGTTACAGTTCAGAGTCCCTCATAGCTATAGAGACCCTCCATGGAGAGTGTCTAGGAATTTAGGAACTCACTGAGGCAGAATATGCGTTTTCTCTACTCCGGATCTAAGCTCCACCTTCGCTCTACTCTGCAAGAACAGAGAGGGCTCACATGGTCCTTTCCCCCAAAGAGGATCTTTTTCTGGATGGCTAGGTCAGAGGCCTCTAGAGCCCCAAAAGCTGCACCTCCCTGAAGTTTCAGTTGTTTTCAGGCCCTTGATATTTGCTCACATAACTCTAGATAAACATCAGGTGCAGCTGATAGCTGTTCCACTGCGG